TGCCACAGGGGCTCCCGTGAAGTTACATTGCTCAAGTTTTGGCTTCAGGCCCGGGTGGCGGGGCTCAGGGCCCTAGGCTTCAGCCCCATGTGGCAGGGCTTCAGCTTTCTATCCTGAGCCCCAGTGAGTCTAATGCTGGCCCTGTTTGGTGACCCCCATGAAACCTGCTCGCAGTCCCCCAGGGGGCCCCAGACCCCTGGTTGAGAACCATTGCTTTAGAAGAAACATGGGATTTTTTTTCAGCACTAAAAGCCATAGGCATATACAACTCAGCTCATGGCAAATCCCAAATTTAGGGGAGGGTTTCATTGTAAGATTCCATTTTAACAGTCTGAGCCCTTCAGGGCAGAGACTTTTCCCATTAGTCTGTACCTCATCTGGTGTGTTTTGGATGATACTATAATACAGTAATGAACAGTGAGAAAGGATGGTCTTGTGGTTCGGGTGCTGGACTGGTACACAAATATCTGAGTCTGGTTCTGCTGCAGGTTTTCTGAATAACTTTGTGAAAGTCACTTAACCTCTGCACCTCAGTTCCATTATCTGTAACAGATGCTTTCTTTGGTCCACCATTTGTCTGTCTGGTCTGTAAACCTGTGGTAGGGACTGTCTCTTTATGTGTTTGTACAGTGCCTTGCACAATGGAGCCTCACTCTTGATTGAGGCCTCTTGGCTCTACTGCAATAGAAACAATTCTAGGAAAAATGATACTGACATTCATCACAAAGCTGTGAAGGCAACCACAACCCTTGGAGCATGTGAGATTTTTATTACCTCTCACACCATCGGCTAAAAGAACCACATTGTCAGATATACTACATTCAGCAAGTCTGGTTTGCAGATGCTAAGATTCTGATTTCAGATGCCCAAAGAGGTTGTGTATTACTGCCAGAAATGCTGTTTCACCATATAGCTGTAGATAATGGCCATCTTGTTACTCTAGCTCTCTACATTTAATAAGCAGAGCCCAAGTAACATAACTCTCCTCTATATGAAAAATAAGTCTTTCTAGAAGACCTGGACTTTCAGCTGGCCATGGATTTGCCTTCCATTGATGGCTTGGCAGCCAGAGAAAAGCTCATGTAAGGTGTAGGAGTTACCATTCTCGTTCATTTTTAAAGAGAGACTTTTAGACTAAGCAGATTGTGCTGCATTTGAAACCCATAACAATCTGGTTACTTTAGAATGACTACTCGGCGGAGCTGTGTTTTCCATTAACTGACTGCCTCATAGTGAGAGCACCTTGATTCTTGTGCTCTTCCTTTCTTCCCTGGCCCCAGTGCTCCAGTTTCCTCCTCTTTTTCACAAAGTCTTATCTCCACCACAATCACCCACTATGTCTACTCACTCAGTCCCTATGTCTACTCACTCAGTCTCTCTCTTCTTAAAGTCAGGATGGCCTCTCCTCTAAATCTTCCTGCACACATCAGCCTCTGCTTTTTCTTTACAGCTTGGGTTCAGTTTTGTAGCTAACATCTTTCTCAATCAGCAGGTCAGAGCAGTTTCCTGACAGGGTCTCTAATGCCACCACCACATAGGAGAGTTTACCTTTGGGCTCTAGCAAGTCCAACTGGGAACATCTTGGAATGGTAGTAGGTAAAAATGTGAGCCACAGTTTCTTAGAGGAGGCTTTGGCTACTGCAAATCATTGGAAAAAACTATATTTTGGATATAAAAAGAGCTATAAGTCTTACCACCCATCCCCCTCCACCTCACTGCTGCTTAGGTTAAATTTGCATCGATTTTGGACTGAATGGCTAGATTTTCAGAATGGTGGCATAATTCCTTAAATCTGTAACTCATAAGGTTAAATTGTATAAAACAACAAACAGTTAATGCCAACGGTAAAATATCATGCAGTTTAACAATATTCATCACCATTCAGAATCAGGCTTCATGTTGCATGAGGGTAGGATTTTGTATTTTTAAAATGTTCATTTTTCATGCTTTTTTATTGATGTTTTTAATTTTTTATTGCTGTTCTATACAATTAAAAACATTAAACATATAAAAAGTCTATTTGGGAAGTCCATTTTTAAGCCATTGTGCTAATTAGTGAAAACAGTTTGGGTTTTTTAGTTGACTCAGCAGATTGTATGTACATACCCCTGTTGACTTAAGTGGAAAGTGTACCAGACCCCTAGTAAAACTCATTGGTGTGTTTGATTTTGTGAAATCTCTGGAAATAAACAAAACTAGGAACCAGATTCTCCTGTGGTATAACTCCATCAACTTCAGTGGTCTTATGCCAGTGGAGAATTTGGCCCTGGGATTTTGAATATCCTAAAACATTTTTACTTTTGATTTAAACCATTATTTTCCTGGTGTCAGAATTTAAAACCATGATTTTCTAATTAAATAAAAGCTAGAGCTATGTGGACGGAGCCAGGACTGCATATATACAGACATCATTGCTGGCAGCGGGGATTGAATTTGGAAATTTCAGTGAACAGCACAATCTCTTGCCACGTTAGCGAAAAGAAATAACTCTAGCTGTTCTATAGTGTCAGGCTCCTATCCTTGAGGGAGCCAGTCACTTCAGGAAGACATGAACATGCACTAAACCAGTATATCACATATGCAAACAAAGACTCTGATTTGAAAGTAATACCTGCCATGCCTCTAGGACAACTGTGGGAATAAAAAAATTGCAGCCAAGCTCACATTTTCTTCGTAATTTATTGACCTTCAGTAAAATGTTGGGGTCTATATTCTGAACTATGAATGCTTAATTTAGAATAGAACATGGAAGTTCACATTTGAGTTCTACTATTGTAAATTTGGAACTCAGTTCAAAGTTTAGTTACTACATTTTTATAAAAGATAAACAGAATTGTTAACATGAGTGATATGACCTCAGCTTGGCTGTGTTCCTATATGTTTTATATTGTATCATTTGTAAATATTTTTATTATGGTAACTCCCAAAAGCCCCTATGAGGATTGGGACCCCATTGTCCTGGATTTGGTACAAACATAGAAAAGATACAAGCCCTGCCCAGAGGGGCTTACAGTTTAAAGACACAAACAGCTAAAGGATAGGGAATGGGAATACAATTATGTATGTTATTGTAGTTTACTTTTATGATTGGGTTTAGATGAAGGATATAGAGCCAAGATGATCTTAACAATGGCAGCATTCTGAATCTTAAAATAAACTTGGGAGTAAGGCTGCAGTAGTCCAAGCCAGGAAAGAGGAGCTTGTAGTAGTCAAGACATGAAGCGATGAGGGCTTGGATGAGTTTTGGCTGTGGGCAGGGAGCAAAGGCTGGATTTTGGAGTGTGTAAGAAAAAGTGAAAGGATTTAGAAATGTCCTGAATATGTGCATCCTGCGAGAGAGCCAAGTCAGAGGTGACACCCCGGTTATAGGGGAAGAGTGAGGGAAGGAAGATGATGAGCTCACCACAGGCCTCGGCCCCACCTTCCGCTCCCGGGCACACACACCACCTGCATCCTCCGGGCCATTTAAAATGGCCCAGGGCCCCCACTCGCTACCAGCAGCACAGCGGAGCTGAGCGGCTTCCTGCCTGCTCGCTCCATGTGGCTGCTGGCCCCTCCCTGCGGCCCCTGGGAGTGGTGGGTCTGTGTCTACGCATGCTGCTCCCGCCCCAAGCGCCCCTGCAGCCAATAGGAAGCTGCAGGGGCAGTGCCTGGGGATAGCAGCGCGCAGAGGCCCCCCGGCCCGCCCTGCCTAGGACCTCCAGGTAAGTGCAGCACCCCCAGCCCCTCCCAGAGCCTGCATCCCCACCCCTTTCCCACATCCCCCCCTCCAGCCTCAAACCTTCCTCCCAGACCCTGCACCTCCTCCCTCCTCACCCCCTCCCCACACACCCCTTCCTGCCCCCAAACTCCCTCCCAGAGCCTGCACCCCCACCCCTTTTCCACATCCCTCCCCTCCAGCCTCAAACCTCCCTCCCAGAGCCTGCACCCCCTCTGCCAAACTCCCTCCCAGAGCTTGCACCTCCTCCCCCTTCCCACACACCCCCTCTTGCCCCCAAACTCCCTCCCGGAGCCTGCAGCCCTTTCCCACACCCCCCATCCCGCCCCCAAACTCCCTCCCAGAGCCTTAAGCAGGTGGCGGGCAGAGTTTGGGGGGAGGGGCTCTAGGCATTCTGGGCACCACCAAAATTTCTACAAACCTGCTGCCCCTGGTCAAAGGTAGGTGTTTAAGATAGGGAGGAGGATTAAAGCATGCTTGAATGGGGAGGGAAAGGAAGAGGTTAGAGGGAGGTTGATCATAGTTCACCATTTAGAACCCATGATGTTTCTATTAGTGGCAAAACAAGTCCTGTCTTCCAGGGCCGCCCAGAGGATTCAGGGGGCCTGGGCGCTGAATTGCCGCCGAAGACCCGGCACCTCAGCGGCGGGACCCGGAGTGGAAGGACCCCCTTGCCGCCGAAGACCCGGAACGGAAGAAGCTCTGGGGGCCCGGGCCCCGTGAGAGTTTTCCGGGGCCCCCGGAGCGAGTGAAGGACCCCGCTCCAGGGGCCCCGAAAACCTCTCGTGGGGGGCCCCTGCGGATCCCGGGGCCTGGGGCAAATTGCCCCACTTGCCCCCCCCCGGGCGGCCCTGCTGTCTCCCCTAGCATTTGGTCCTTATGGCTCGGCATCTCTGATCTGTGCGCAGTGAAACAGAATAGATTCCCAGATAAAACGCTCCTTTAGCTTTAACTCTTTGGGCCACATTTTCAAAAGCAATTTCTAGACCAAACAGCCGGTTCACTCTCTGCTCTAAAGGGGAAAAAAATCTCACTCCAAGAGCAACACTTCCTGCTTATTTACTGTTGTCTTTTCCTGTTCTTTCCCTCCCACTCTACCAAACTTGTTATGTTGTCATTTTTGTTGCATTATTTGCAACTTGCAATCTGCCCCCAAGTGATCATTATCACAATTTCTTTTGGTAATCACTAGTCTAGATAACTCTACTGTTTTCCCTTCATACAGAGGACAGTTGATATCTTTATTATAAAAATTAAAACAGAAAAATTACTTATTTTTCAGAACTGCTTCTATTACTGGGGATTTGCAGCTTGGCTTGCTTATTACATCAATCATCCTCTTTATACACCTCCTTGTAAGTAGCAAAATGGCCCTCAGAATGATTTGAACCTTTACCTGGGTATATCTGAGTGCTAACTATCCACTTTTAAACATTTTGTTTTCTAGCCTATGGACAAAAACAGATAAATTTTGCTGTGATCATGTTTCTGGTAGGTCTTTTGCTTTTTTATGAAAGACTCTCCTTTATTATTTATTAGTTTCGGGGTGGGGGGAGGGGACTGTCAAAGATTTATTACTGGAAAGCTCAGGACATAGAACTAAGATTGATCAGTTTAAGATAGAGAGAAAACTGTCTGTTTTGACCAGAACCTGGACTTCAGGGGAAGTTTTGGCTGAGTAAGAATTTCAAGATTGGTCTGTTTAATCTGCAGAAATTAGATAAGAATTTGTGTATGGAGACTCACACTCAGCCACATTCATCACAGTGCTCCTGGTACTACCAGAGTCTAGCACTGTGTTAAAATGTGTTCAGTTTATCGGGGTTGAAACTATCAAGTAGGTCACAAGTAGCCGACAGCTGGCCTACTACAGAATTATGAAAGTGTTAATATTCAGGGCCAGGGTTTCATCTTGCTGACTTTCTATATATTCTGACAGAATCCCTCTGGAAATAGAATCCTGAAAGTGTCCTTTCACTCACCTCTCCAGAACTATTTTATTTCCTTGCTATACTAACATTGCTTCTCTTAGGAAGTATCCATTCTCTCTAGTGCAGATGTAACCTGTCTCTGCATGAAGAGAAGAAAAAGAATTACTATAGTGTCAGCGATTGGCGGATCTCATAGCACTTTTCAAATGTGAAATTTTCTGTGAAATAGACGATGGTGGATAATTTGAGCCACAGGGGTTAAAGTGACTTTCCCTAGGTCAGACAGCACACGTGCAGAGCTGGGAATAAAACTCAGGAGCTCTGATTACCAGTTCTCTGCTCTATTCTGGCCACAATCATATATACAGACCATTTCAATCTATTTTCTACCTAACTAGTGGTGTAAAGCATTGCCTAACAGCAGGTGGAAAAGTTGGTTAATAGAACTTTGTGAATCACATCAAGTCCTTGCCATAAGAAGTAGAAGTCGTTATGGACCAGCATATCAGTATTTATGGAGCTGCACAAATATGCCTTGGGATTTTTGAGAAATCCAAACTGCCTGATTAATTTTTTTAAACAAATCAGCCCAGTCAAAAGGTAAAGGAAACACACGCTGGATCCACTTTATTCAGGGGTTATAGTGTTAGGGTCTGGCTGGGAGAATAGCTGGAGTGCATTGTACCTTCTTGGGACTTGGTCAACACTTGCTAGTTGGCAATCTGACAAACGCAAGGCAGAGTGTAATATGGTCTCTTGTGTATGGAATGAGTAGAACAGACGTCTCCTTACTGTCAGTCAGAAATCTTGTTTTGAGCTTTATTAAAATCTAAACACTTTTTTAATCCTGTGGTGTTTAGTCTATTTTTCAATGGGGGGTTGGGGCCCTTTAAAAATATTTGTCTAGGAACTAGCATTGGGAAGAGGAATGATAAATGGAAGGGAAGCATTTTCCTTTACTGTATTGTATGCTGCTTCTTCCAGATATGTGAAGCTGGAAATTTCTCTATCCACGTTGCACTCAGTGACCTAAGAAGAGATGGTAAAAGTTTGTTCTCTACCTTTGTGCAGTTAAGTTAGCGCTTCTGCAGTGATGTACACTGATGAATGGCCTGATCCTGCAAGGTGCAGAGAGCCTCCTGTGAGAGGCTAATCACCCTCAGCTGGCCTCAGTGGGAGTTGCGGGTACACAGCACCTCATAGGATTAGACTCTAAAGGAAGTTTGGGTATGTAAGGAAAGCACTTAGAGCCAGATTGTGCTATTAGGGCATAGGCCTGTATTAGCTGCACGGGTGGTTCAAAGTGGGAGGTGGGCATGATATTCGGGTTGGCTAGTTCTCCAGGGGATGCTAGCAGGAGTTGTGCTGTGGAGAGTGCAAGGTCCAGTAATGTGCCTGGCTCCTGCCCAGGGCACAAGCTGTGTGTGTGCTTGGAAGTTAAGGGGCGTGATGGCTCCCTTGTGCTTTGCCCCCTCTTTGAAGGAGGGCTGCCTAGACTTTGGCTCAGAATATTTGCTAACTGCATCCACAGTTTTGTGACCATGTAATCTGTAGAAATACCGTTCATTTCTGAGGTCTAGGAAATGGTGCAGATACTTCCTATGGGAATGACTTAGTGCTGCCCAGTCAGCATTGCCAATGATCTTTCCCAATGATGCTTCTAGGGATGCTACTGCCAAATACTGTGTGCAAGCCTTAATGATGCCTATAGCACTTCCCCACAGGCACCCTAAGCCTTCCTCTGGGCTCAGTCGAGTCCTTGTTTTCCCAAGTCTATCTTGCCCATCTCTTCAATAGGCAGATTTGGATTGTCTTTATAGCAAACTACATGGTACATAGGAGTGTCAGTTTTCTGTGATTTTTTGTGTGTGGTTCTTTTAATCTGTAGGATCCAAGATCCGTAAAATCCCTTATCCAACAAAGAATCCTTTCACGTGGCTGTTTTTCTTTGTAACCTGTCCTAACTATACATATGAGGTATGTATTTTCATCAGAAAACCACACTAAGATTTAAGTTTTGCAGGTTACATCTCAATTTATACTGTATTATTAAAACAATCATGTAAGGAAACCCTAAAAACTTAAAATCAAAAATATGCAAGCCCACTTCATATTGCCAAACTCTAGGTTCAATCCTTCAAACAGTTATCCCATGACAGACATCCTAATGTACCTTTAAGTGAAATTTACTTCTGTGCAGAAAGACTGCATGAAGCCTATGCACCCTTCAGACTCTCAAAATTAAAATCTAAATGGGATGTGAGTGGTGCATAGACCTTGTACAGGTCCAGTGCACAGGGGTGAGTGTCAGGCTGTGTGTCCTCAATCCACGCAGCCCTGCTGAAGTCAGATTGATACAAAATCTTGATTTCAGGGGAGTTTCATTGGTGTAAACGAGAACAACATTTGCTCCCTGGGCTGCAGAATGTCACCATTACAGGCACTGATTTAGGAACAACTACAAAATAGGTGGAGACAAGGGAGAGAGGAAGCTTATGTCCAAAACAACACACACAATAACCATGATGAAAAATGGGGTGCTTTTGTTTGGAATTAACAGGATATTAACAGGCTTGATACCAGAAATAGCTTTGGGTAACCTTGGATGTATTGTTTACCTACATTAGGGAGGGATGTTTTGATAATAGAGGTATAAATGTGAATGCGATCATCAGAAATATTTTGAATTTCCTTGGCCATAACAGGTGGGGGCATGGATCAGCTTCACCATCATGACTCAGTGCGTCCCGGGTGAGTAAGGTTTCGTCTTTCTCCCAACTAGGTGATTTGTTCTCAGGACAAGAGAATGTTGTTTCACTAGCATTGATATTGTTTCTTTTTTTATATATCTTTTTATAGTGGGATTGTTCACATTTCTTTGCTTCATTCAGATGACAGTTTGGGCAAAGGATAAACACTACACCTACGTACGAGAATTCAAGGATTATCCAAGTCTTAGGATGCCAATTATTCCTTTCTTACTGTAAGAAAAAAACTGCTTGAATACCTGAGTGGAACTACAGGAGGACAAAGCTGATGGGCTCTTTTTATTGAGAAACCTGCTGGCAAATGAGAGAATTCATTTAGATAACTAAACCAGGGTGGTTCTGCTGCATGGAATCTCTATTGCTGTGGGAAATTCTATACAATTGGAAGCTACATCTCCCTAATATTTCTAAATTTTCAGAAAGTCATATTGGTTGCCATGACTTTATTGCTACATTGGCAGCCAAGGGCCTTTAAGGCTCACTATTGGCTTAGATCCTTTCAAATAGTGACAGTTGTAGCTTCCTGTACTGGCCCGGTTGGTTTTGTGGATCACAATGAAGCCTTGCCACCGGGAAGCTCCAACTTGTGGAACAGCATTCCACAGAAGTGCTGACTGACCACATTGATTTCTGGAGTCATCATCAGGTCAGCTGATTCAAAGGTAGATGCGTGTGCTGCCTTCCCTTGCTGGAGAGAAAGTGCTATGGGGACAGGTGCTTCATGGGGAAATGAAGAAGTTACAAAGGAGGGAAATAGGAGTACTCAGAATAAAGAGGTGAGCAATAGCTCAGATGCCTGAGTTGGCCCGAACACACACTTTGACAAGTCAACCTTAAATCACAAGTCATAGAATAGAACATCCCCTGTTAGGAAAACTCCTTTATCAATGAATTGCTCACCAGCTAGCTGACTGGATTTTGAAGATGTAGTATCTTCTGTAGCTGTGATGTTTGGCCTGTTTTCATAAAACAAGTCATTACAATACCAAAAAGAACTTTTACCTAGAGGTTTTATGTTAGTGTTTTCTGAAGAGTTTTTAATGTACTTTGTAAACAAATGCACTAACCTACAGTCCTCAAAATGATACTTCTGTCCCTGTTTGCAAAGCAGGGAGAAGGAATCAGTTACATAGTGAACTTTCTATGTTTTGTTTTCCACAAGGTGTTCAGTTTAACTTGGAAGTTTTTCTATAAATCTATTCAAGAAACTACTGCAAAACCTGTCTTAATGACTTTTTTAAGAACCTATTTTAGAATGTATCTACAAAGAGAAAACATATATCATGTTTTTTCATGATGATTTATTTACCTAGAAATGACTTATAGAAAGATTTTTGCAACTATTTGTAAAGATAAAATATGCAATAAATTCAAGCCTACATTTTGAACTCTGTCAAAATAATTATGGCAACAAAAGATGATGTATTATAGCTGGTTGCAGAAGTTTCATAGTTTATATATAAATATAAAGCAAAATGGTCTTGTGTCAAATAAAAAGTTACATCCACTGGATAAAAAACAAAAACAAAATCCAAGTTCACTATTACATAGCAAATTCTACCACTGGATGAATGGCTTAGAAGCATGTAATGATTAGTGCTATGAGTAATCAAAGCAATAAATCATTATGAATGATTTTGCATTCTGCTATTCTCCGGTAGTTTGACTGGGAAACAGAAAGAGAGCTAGAGGCAAAACTGGTGTCAGGGGTGAACTTCAAAATGTTTGATGGTTCAGTCATATAATCCTCCAAAAATGATGGGGTCTTGTCTGCCACAGTTGCCTCATTTCTCATTGACTTCAGAGGGGACTGCACGTAGACTGAAATTCCCCTGTCTACAGATGGCCAGCAGAAGGCCTGGGCAACACTTAGATCCCGGCTTGAGCCCTGAAGGCGCTGCACAGAGGGAAAATTTAACTTCAGCTGGCGACAGTATCATGCCGTGGATGTTAGCCTAGACCACCAAGAGATGAGAATTTCTCATGTGAGATTGCCAATACTTCCTACTTTGGGCCAGATCAGAAATAATGAATATTGCACACAGACTTTAAAACAAACAAACAAAATAACACTACCTTTTTGGTAGTTTCACCTCAGTTCCTGGAACCAGGAAACGAAGGGCCATGTATTTACTTTCATTACCAAAAGTCACCAAGCTTTTTCAAATATAAAAGGGTTCTGCTTGGGTGTGAGATTTGGGTTGATTCTCCCATTCCTGATGATTCTCTGGAGCTCTAATGGAATTGCCTGACATTACAATGAGGCAACCTCTGAGCAGGAGTATTGTCTGTCAGCACTTATGTCCTGGCCTGACACAGTCCTTTGCATTTAAGAAGGTGGGTGCCCATTTCTGAGGTGGCAGCGCTCTGTTTTTGGATCTGCAGTGGGAAGCTGTGCAATGCTACTGGTAGCAATTAATTTGGAAGGTTTTTTTAAAAAACTACCATATTAAAGGTCCAGCATAGAAAAACTGTCTTTAATGCTTTCTTATGTGTCAGCAAGGAAGAAAGAGTTCTCTCTTTGCAGCATATAATGATCCTTGTGTGACAGGAGGATTCTATTATAAACCAAGCATCTTCCACTCCTTTGACCCTTTCAATGGGTACCTCATGTCTTTCTCCAGCCAAGGCAGAAGAAGTTTTTTGTTGCTAGACAGTTGTGAACACAGTACTCAGAAAGGTACAAAGCTTTATTTGAATACTGCCCTGAGCAGTTTCTTCACTCTCCATACAGCTATGATATGGCACACCTGTGAGCTAACACGCTCTCAGTGTTAGCAGCTGTAGGGGAGTTCTATGCAGCTGCCTATCGAGGAAAAGCTGGGGACACCTTCACCTCCCGACTGGCTCCAGCTGCACGAGGGTGTAAAGGAATTTCCTCATCCTCCATCTGTTGCTTAGCAAAGTTCACAAATACCTACGAGAGGAGAACAGATCAATATAACCAGCCTCGCCGGAGGCCGGGCAGTTGAACTACTCCTGCCACTTGCATCACATCAGCTTCTCTGTAGGCAAGAAGTGTGAAGCAGAACCCAGAGGTATGTGCAGAAATGAAAACTGCCCATCAGTAGACATCACACATTTTTCTTTATCCTGTACAAATCCACCTCTACGGCAGCTGAGGTAAGGGGCAAGGTGCATAGAACATGTACCACACTGGTGGGCAAGGGAGAAGATGTAGTATACTAGAGGCACTGTGCAGAGGTCACGAGCAGTCACAGGTGTGCGGGGAATATACCCGCTGGCAGTCCCCATGACAGCTGCATAGCAGGTGTCATCTGCACAGACCCACGGCGGCCAGCTGGGTGTGATGCCCTCTAATGACAGTGTGTGCTGCCAACAGCACTGGCCCGTGTTGCTGGCTTTTAGTATAGAAGTGCTCCTGTATGGAAATCAGTGGCTTCTGAGGAGGAGAGCTAGGTACGCAATTAGTTGATTGGGTACTGCAGGGCCTCTGGGGACACAAGGCAGTCAAAATCTCATTAAAACTAAATGGAAGAAAACTAATCGGCTATTTCAAATTCAGCAAGTCTCATTCTGAATAGCAGAATCTGGGCTGATCTGCTCACTACCACTCCTATTTCTGTACTGAGAATCCAAGGGGGGTCCTAACAGAACAGGTCATGTGCACTCCTGCCTCTGGGATCAGTTGTCACTGTAGCTTCACAGGGTATCAGGGTATGCACAGGTCTGATCCTGCACTTTTACCTGAGGGCACTGAGAGTTTTGTCTGAGTTAGGGATGTAAGGTAAAGCCCTTCAAAAGTTGGTTTAACAGACAGTCAAGACAGTTATGGACCCTAACTTATTCTGGATTTTGCCACATCCCCATGGCATTTCTTCTCCCTTGCCAGCCAGATTTTCTCATGGATGACTTTACTGCTTTCTTACTCACCTGATCCAAAGTTGTTTGTGAGACTGAATATTCTTCGATATTCAGGTTTTCTTTGTTGGAGATAAGTAACCGAAATATCCTGGCCAGGGAGGAGGAGCAAATCTGGTACTGCAGCATGTTATAGTGTTTCTCTCTTTGTAAACTGCCTGGGAAGTTGACTTGTATGAAATGCTCAGCTGGGCTTGGATCTGGACACAGCCCAGGTTTAGGTGCTTTAATTTTCATGGTGACAATATATCCATCTCCAAATCTGAGAAACACACATGGGTTTGGTTGTTTTATGAAGACATGGTTTTACTATTCAATTGGGGGAAATCAGTTCTCAGCAGTTAGCTATACATTCAGAAATGCAGAGGTGACACGTGGGGGCCATGCAGGGTCATGTGCCCCCCCAGATTTCTGCCAGGGTGGGAGTTGGGCTGAGTGCCGCTGAGGGGGACATGCCTGGGAAGGGCATCGGCACCTACCGCTCCTACTGAGCTCCACTCGGAGGCACCCGGAGCAGGGAAGAGAGACAGGGCTGGCAGCGCAGCTCCACCAGAGGCGATGCAGGGAAGCCCTCTGAGTCCTGTTCCTTCCTCACCCACAGCTGCAGTTACCTGCTCAGCAGCAGGCGTCCAGAACCTTCTCCGGCCCATGCCGCACCCACAGCAGGGCGGTGATGGGAGAAATAAGTGGCGAAGGAGCTGGGGGGGGGAAGGCAATGCTGGCTTGGAGCGGGTGTGGGAGGCGCAGGGGGAGTGGGAAAGGGCCTCGAGGCAACACATGGGGCAGTCACATGCTGCCCTCCTCCCACCCTGGACCTTTAAATTGTGTCTGCCCACCATCAAGAGTTACAGGTCATCTCTGCAGAAATGCATGAAATGGGATACCTAGAGCTAGCTCTATTGAACTGTTTTGGGATGCTGAAGAATCCACGTGTATTCTGAAGAATTGGTCTGTAATATACTCAGGTGATTTGAGGATCAAGGGGCCTAACTTAATAGTCTTGCATATTAAAGGGTTGCACTCATAAGGTGGGCAGTGTGTTATTTTTAAATGAACACAGGTCTAGCGCCTATGTTACATAACACCTGGCTGGCTGCATAATCACAGATTATTTGAAACTTGTACTCTGCAGAGTGTCCCCATAATCACCAGACAATTCTTTAACAACACGGGATACAAACATTCAATTTACCTGTATTTTAAATGTTGAATAGTGCCCAGGCATTTGAAGGTCCCCTTCACCATTATGGCTAGACGAGTGCAGAGAGCTTCACATTCTTCCATGCTGATAAACCAGAGAACACAACACAGGTTCAGGATTAGAGCAGGATTTCCGC